TTAATAGCACCCTCGCTATTAAACGAGGTACGTATTATATATATCTAATAGCACTAGTAGCTAGAACTACTACAACCTCTTCTATAGTACTGTCGCTATATAGGCTATTACTATAGATAGCAATGTCTTTAATCGAGTTATTATAGCTCGAGCGATCTACGTCCTTTCTTTTAACGTATACTAGAAGAACGACAACTCCGCTATAGTAATTGTTGCCGCCGCGGGGTCTAGAAGTCCGCTTATCCTACGCTTACTTATTAATAATACGGGCTATAGCAATCTTATACTATAGGGTTAGAAACAATAAATTAATATACTAAGTCTCGCTATCGTAATTAGGTCGCCTCGATAGGCTATCGGTAGGGTTACTTACGCCTAGCCGGTATAATATATTAAAATCAAACCCGGCGAGGTAGACGGCCTATCTAGCCTATCGACCTATAACCCTAGTAACCTTCGTGATTCTACGAAGGTTGTTATAGTCTGTATAGACCTAGATAGTGTACTAAGCACTATCGAGATAGTAACGCTAGTACTTAAAGGCTTTAACGATTGCTAAGAGCTCTTGCTCGTAGGTCTCGTAGCGACGTTCTATATCGATTATCTTTCGCGAGAAGAAGGCAACCGGGTACTAATAGGTATCGTTAGCCTATTGTAACATAATAGCTAATATAGCGAACTGTAAAGCGTTAGTCTTAATTCGGATCTACTTACTTAGTACGAAATAGTGCAATAAGGGGACTTTAGTAAAGCGTTACTTTAAACCGTTAAAAGCGGCTTGTACTCTATTAGTCTATTTAAACTCTCTAGTTAGGTTGGCCTTAGTTTTAGTAAGCTTAGTTAGTAGTATTACATGCCTCGAATAGCCCTTAATAAAACGGCGGTAAAAGTTAGTAAAACCTAGGAATAATTAAAGCTCCTTAACACTAGTAGAGGTTAGCTATTTAGTAATTGTTTTAATCTAGTTAGGATCAGCCTTAACACTATTAGTTAATACGAGGAAGCCGAGGAATAACACCTCTTTAGTAGTAAAGGTGCATTTAGAAGGCTTATAATATAAGCTATAGGTCCCTAGGCGATCGAGCACCTTACGGACTATAGCCTAGTACTCCGCAATGTTAGGTAAGTATATATAAACTAGGATGTTATCTAGGTAAACTACGCAGAGGTAGTCTAATAGGCCTAAAAGGGCCCGATTAATATAGGACTAGAATGTAGTAGGGGCATTAGCTAGCCTAAATAGCACAACTAAGTACTTAAAATAGCTATAGCGAGTATAGAAGGCTGTCTTCTATTTATCGCCCTTACGAATACAAATGCGGTAATAGGCGTCCTTAATGTCTAATATAGTATAGAAATAGGCGCTAGAAAGGCGATCGAGGGTCTTATTAATAAGCGGAAGCAGATAGCGGTCCTTAATAGTAATAGCATTAAGCCTTCTATAATTAACATATAAACGCAGGCTACTATCCTTCTTTAGAACAAACAGGATTGGTATACTAGTAGGGCTATTGCTATACTGAATTCGACTATTAGCTAGGTTCTTATCTAGGTACTTACGTAGTATAGCAAGCTCGCGTTCGCTAAGGTTGTAGAGGGGCCTAAAGGGGACCTCTTTGCCCTCTATAATATTAATCTTATAATCTGTTTCTTTGAATATAGGTAACGTTAATGCTAGGTAGTGTTTAAATATATTAATATAGGTTTCTCGAATAGGCTAAGGTATACGAGCAAGCTATTTAGGGTCTATGCTATTAGAGGGCATAGGTTTATCGTTATCTCTACTAAGCAGGTTAGCAGTCGGGTTAGCTAAGGCGGAGGCTAGTATTAGGGTACCGATAAATAGAACCTTAATATTGTTAGGACACTCGCTAATATTAATGTATTTAATATCCTCTCTCCTAGCGATTCTAAATCGCTACTATTAACTGCCTAAGTCTATAACTATAGTATAGTAGTTAAGAACAGGGTTACCGATAACAATATCGGATAGAAGGTTGTCTATATCTACCGCGTAGGCAGTAAAGTCTAATAAGCGCTTATTGCCGAGGTCGTCCTTTAGGACTATAGGGATATAGTAAGCCCTATAGGTTAAGTACCGAGCGTTATTAAACTAAGCAAGGGTTAGTATATTAGTTCTAGGCAATTGTCGAAGGTCTAATTGCTTAGCTAGGCGGTAGTTAATAAGGGCGCTAACCGAATTGCCTAGGTCTAGTATAACCTTAGTCTTATAGTTGTCTCTATATATATCCTATATAAGATAGGTACGTATAATAGCTAGTATAATGTCGATAGTTGTTAACGATACGAGCTACCGCCGCCGCTAGTTATCGATAGTAATAAGGAGTAGGAGGTAGAAAGAATACTAGATATAAAAGGCAAAGGAGATAATATATAGTATAAGGTAAAATAGATTAGATATAACAAACCGATATAGGAAGCTGCCGAGAACGCTACTAATACGTAAGAAGTAGTAAAGGACTATTATAAGCGCTACCCGCGTAAGCCGCAACTACGTATTATTAACTTAGCGATATTAATACGACCGAGCGCACTATTATTAGTCGCTATAATCGCAATACTATATAAGCAACGAGTAGATAAAGCGCCGTAGACGTCGCCTACGAAGGGGGGGAGTGCTATTACGATCTTAGCGACTTGTATATATAATTCGAGGTTACGTAACTAAAGGTTATGTAACTTGATGCCTAAGGCATCCGCCGAGCAGATAAAAGCCTCTCCCGCGAGAGAGCCTCTCTCTCTTTCTTCTTTAACTCGTTATTAATTTAGATAGCTATTTAATTAATATCTTAATATATTCCTATTGTTAGTACTATTGTTTTAGTAGGAACCTTAGTTTCCTCCGCGGCTACGGCTACTACGGTTAGTACTAGCTAGTCGGATCCTTAATTCTAGTCGTTACTAAAGCTAGACAGCTCGTTTAGCTGTTTCTACCTCGACTATAAATTAAATATATATTAGATTAGCTTGTTCGAATACACGGCGACGGTCTAATTCGAGGATAAGCTCCTATCTAAGTTTTAGGCGTATCTCGGAGATCTATATAGAATTAGTCTTAGGCGGAAGGTCGTCTTTAAGGGTTTTTAAATAGGCCTCGAATAAGCGGGCCGATTAATTAGTCTTTTGCTTAGCTCGAAGGTACTAGTCCTAAGCATATTATTGCCTTAGTATAGGGTTACTAAGGGTGTCTAGTATAATAGTTTAATAGGTTTGCTACTAAA